GAGCCATCGAGGAAAATCCGTCCCCGGCTGGTACGGCCCCACCGCCGGCAGACTCAGTCCAGCCGCCGCCATCCCGTCCGCCGTTGACGTCCACTCGTGGTCCCCTCAAGCCTCCTCACGCCGCGGCCGCCGCCGCGCGACTGAACCGTCAGCTGGCGCCAGGGGCGGATCCAGGAAAACTCCAAGGGGAGGGTCATGAATCGAAGTGGTGCCCCTACCTATACCCAAAATTAAAAACTCAACGGATTTCGTCCACTTCATTTTGGTGGTGCCCCCATTTTCAGTTTTTTCTTTTTCTTTTTTTATTTTTAGTCAGTATCTTAACTCTTAGCCACAACCACATTTACCAATTGTAAGCAAGTATATATGAATGTGCTATGTGCATAGATGCTATGTGTATATATGTTGTGGACGCTGAGTAGTGAGTACTTACCAGGAACGTTATCAGGTAAGCAAATCGTTGTCAGTCCGACGAACTTGACCCTGGCGTCTAAAGGGTCTGTCCTTGACACTTCAGGCTTGTCAGGGGCACCAAAGTCCTTCCAGGGACACCACAAACCTTTCAGGGGCACCTACGGCCTTGTAGGGGCGCCACAGGCCCGCCAGGGGCACCACAGGCCTGCCAGGAAGTAGGGGCACCACAGGTCTAGCAAGTATACACGACAGGCCTGTCAGGGGCACAACGGACCTGTTGGGCCCATGAGCACCCCTAGGGGCAGGGGCACCACAGTCCTTCCAGGGGCACCGCAGGCCTGTGAGGGGCACCAGCGGCCTAGCAGGGGCACCAGTCAACACAGGCCTGCCAGGGGCACCACAGACCTGCAAGGGGTACCAGAGGTCTGCCAGGAGCACCACCGACCTCGCAGGGGTAACTTGGGCCTGTCAGGGGCCAGGGGCACCACGGGCCTGTCGAGAGGCACTTCAGGCTTTTCAGGGGCACCATAGTCCTCTCCGGGCGCAGGGGTAGCAGGGGCACCAGAGGCCTGCCAGGGGCACTACAGGCCTAGTAAGGGCACCACTGGTCTATCAGGGGCACCACGAGCCTGTCATAGCCAGGCATCTCAGGCTTGTCAAGGCCCAGGGGCACCACAGGTCTGTGAGGGGCACCAGCGACCTAGCAGGGGCACCAGTCAACACAGGTCTGCCAGTGGCGCCACAGACCTGCCAGGGGCACCACAGACCTGCCAGGGGCACCAGAGGTCTGCCAGGGGCACCACCGGCCTCGCAGGGGCACCTTGGGCCTGTCAGGGGCACCACGGGCCTGCCGAGGGGCACTTCAGACTTTTCAGGGGCACCAGTCCTCTCCGGGCGCAGGGGTACCAGCGGCCTAGCAAGGGCACCAGAGGCCTGCCAGGGGCACCAGCGGCCTAGCAAGGGCACCAGAGGCCTGCCAGGGGCACCACAGGCCTAACAAGGGCACCGCGGGCCTGTCAGGGGCACCTCAGGCTTGTCAGGGCCCAGGGACACCACAGTCCTTCCAAGGGCACCGCAAGCCTGTCAGGGGCACCAGAGGCCTGCCAGGGGCACCACAGGCCTAGCAAGGGCACCACTGGCCTGTCAGGGGCACCTCAGGCTTGTCAGGGCCCAGGGGCACCACAGTCCTTCCAGGGGCATTACAAGCCTGTCAGGGGCACCAGAGGCCTAGCAAGGGCACCACAGGCCTGCCATGGACACCACAGGCCTGCCAGGGGCACCACCGCCCTTGCAGGGGCGCCTCAGGCCTGTCAGGGGCACCACGTGCCTACCGGGGACACTTCAGGCTTGTCAAGGGCGTTACAGTCCTGTCAGGGCCCAGGGGCACCAGGCCCGTGGTGTCCCTGCTATGCCTGTGGTGCCCCTGGCGGTCCTGTGGTGCCCCTGTCAGGACTGTGATACCCCTGATAGGCCGGTGGTGCCCCTGGCAGGTCTTTGGGCCCCCGGGCCTCAAGGGGGGGGGGGCCATGACCCATGTGACCCCCCCTTGGATCCGCCCCTGGCTGGCGCCGGCCAAGGTCACTCAGCAGTGACTCGGGCTCCCTGCCGCCCGTCCCTGGCACCGCCGCTGCGTTTCCCGCGCTTTCCACTCCGGGGGAGTCACGTGACCGCGACGTCACCGAGACACGTGACCACGCGCCTGCGCACTCGACCAGCGCACCCGTCCGAAAATGGCCGCCGAGGCCCAAACACTCGGACAGCGCTGAACACAGGGGGGACTCAACACAAGCCCACGCCCCCGTCAGTCGCAGGACACGCAGTTTACTGCCGCTTACCAGTCTCCGCGGCTCCGTCGCAGTCCACACGCGGTCCACAACTGCACAGTACAGCGTTCGGATCGGAGTCGCCCACGGCCTCCTCAGCGAGTTCGAAATCCTTGTCGCCAGGTATTACGTCTCCACTCCGCACTGCCTCACACAGGCTGGCTCGTGGAGACAAGTTTATTGCTGAGGCAATCTGGGCTCATACACGAACACTAGTCTGTGCTGACCGCGACGCGACGACCACCGCACACGGCGCACACGACGCACGACCGCACCCGACACGCGCGCCAGACCGACTCTCTCGAGCCGCCGCGTCTGCGTGCCGGCGCCGCCAGTGGCGTCGCCAGCTCCCGGGCGGAGGGGGACAATTCGCGATACCACAGGGCTATCTCAAATAGCCCCACCCTACGGGGCTATTTGAGACATGCTTTAACATAAAAAATAACCTTAATCATTATTACTAGCTGAACCAAAATGCACCAATCTGAAAGAGCTCACAGAGGACTACATTTTTGCAATTTACATGCTATAAGAAATATGAAGCGTCTCAAAGGGAGAGGCCAAAAACTGCAAAATCCGTTTCAAATAGCCCCACGTTACGGTACTATTTTAGACTCGCAAGCGACTCTGGAATCATTTATCGAAAGATCGTGTTTGAAGAATCCGGTAAGTCTGAAACCTGCACAGAACGACTTCTAAAATTCGAATTGTGCAATCTTATAAAAATGAAATAGGTGATAGTTTCCCTTTATGAGACCTTGACTTTTGCCCCCTGATTTATCAGCTCCCAGGGCTTGCCGAGCTTATATTTTATGCTTATCTTGATCAGCATCTTAACTTGTATCCGCTTGAAAACTTTGAGGAAATTCTAAGTGGTCCGCCCTGGATGACCTTGACCTTTGACCCTTTGTATCTCAGCTTCCAAGGCTTGCCGAGCTTAGATTTCATGCTCATCATGATCAGCATATAAATTTGTACCTGTGTGCAAAATTTGAGGCAATTCGAAGGGGTTCGCTCTGAATGACCTTGAACTTTGACCCCCTAATATCACAGCCCACAGGGTTTACCGAGCTTAGATAATTAAGAAGCGCAGTGGAAACTGGAAGGGGGCGGATTTCGCCCACCCCTCCTGTTTTTCGCCAATAACTCGCGCTGCAAACATAGTATTAATTTGAAATTTTGGCCATAGGCGCGGGAGCCGGGGGGGCAGTGGGGGCAGCTTGCCCCCCCCAACTCTGGGGCCGTGGGGGCGGTGCCCCCACAGCTTTGAGACGGAATACCACACTTGTTTTGCAAATGTTTTCTTTTTTTGTTGAAAAAGCCGAGGGGTGAAAAATAAGTGGCCTAAAACCGGTGAGAAAACTAGATTTGGGGGTACCCTAGGTTAATCTCTATTATGGTGTGCCCCCCCAGTCGGAGAGTAGTTCCCGCGCCCCTGATTTTGGCTACCTGTCCAGAACTGAATTGCAGATCTTCTCGTGCAAGAAATAAGAAAATCAGTTCACAACTTTTCTAGTAATAGCGGTGTAAAGTCAAACATCTCGCCGCCGCGGCAGTGCGGCGCGGCGGCGCGGCGCGCGGCGGCCGGCGCTAGCCGTTACGCGCCGCCTGAAGGGGCGGACAGGGAAGACTGAGCCGGGGCGGGACGGTTCCGTCTTTAGGTACATCGCGCTCTTTACCACTGATTATATTCGATTCGTGTCAGATTTTGTGAGAAGGCTGAGAAATGTACAGGCAATCATATGATCAAAGAATTTTGAAAATCGCCCGATAACTTGAGCTATGAGTGTGTAAACACAAAATTGTGATTGCCGCGTTTCCCGCGTCGGCCGATCCGGCTTCAGTCGGCGACATCTTACCCCTAGCAGGCTTCTAACTGCCATATTTGTTGTTGAATTAATTAAAAATTCACCATACATTCTCACAAACATATGTCCTTTCGTAAAGTGAAAGAAAAAAGAAAATCGGCCGGTAACTTTTTGAGTTATCGGCGTGTAAACGCAAAAAAGTCGCTCATATGGCAAAATTTGACTACATTTGACCTCATTTGACCTTGAAGATATTGACCTAGGGTCATGAAATTCATACGCAACAGAGCTCCCCAGGGCCCACACCTACCCTCCAAATTTCGTCTTTCTTGCCCCAGTGGGAGCTATCTTAGGGGGGGGGGGGCGACATCCGCCCCCCCTTCCACTGGGCGTAGTACTCGAAACCCTCCCACTGCGCGTGTTAAGCATAATGACCAGTGCATCTAGATGTATCAACTCACAGAATTTCATTAAAATCTGAGGGGTCCGCTGCGAGTGGGTCACGTGACCGCCACGTGGCTGCAACATTTGACCTGCCCTATCTCCGAAGTGAGGGCTTGCCGAGCTAAGTTTATGGACAAGAGACTGAGGAGGTCAATGCCTATCTGCATTAATTTTTTTAAGGAATTTGAAAAGGTCCGCCACCAATGACCTTGAACTTTGACCCGTCATATATCCGTAAGTAAGGCTTGCCGAGATTACATTTTGTGCTTATCGTACTCAGCAGGTCAGATCTATCATTAGAGTGATTTTCAGCCAGACCGAAGGGGTCCTCTGAATGACGCTTGTTCAAACTGATGCCGAAACGGTTATAACGATTGGCCATCGAACAACGCAAAAAGGCGCATTGTTGTAGCGTCACGGCGGTAGCGACACGACGTTCTTGCTGGACGCACTGCGCTGAATCTCTGAGCTGCCGCGCCCTTCCAAATGTGATGAGCAGGCAACAGGCCAGTGTGTCTCACTGCATATATTATGAATCTGTTGGGCGTTGGCAGAGGCGCTGGGAGCCCCGCCGTCACAGCCTCTGTCTCATTGGCTCCCTAGGGCCGGCCGGCCGCGACACTGGACCGAGCCGGCCCCGACACTGGACTGCGCCGGCTCAGACACGCGCACTAGCGCGGGCGCCTATAGCGGAGCTCGGGCGCAGCGGCCGAGCGGCGCCGACCGGTCCGCGGCGGCACAACAGCACGCAGGTGGAGACAGCGCTATGATGCACAACGCTCGGCTTACAAAATGAGATTACAATAGACGCGTTTATGGACAAGAAGAGGCATACAAACTGGCTTCAAAACAACCCGCTCTACCATTCATAATTGCATGATGCATTCGGATATCAAATTGCTCCGCCAATAACTGCAACATGGCGATGAAAATATATGTTTGACACAGTATATACGTAACGATACAGGCAAAGCATACCTATCCACAAATTCTACAAGTACGCTGAGCCGCAGCCGTGGCGCTCGGCTGAAGTGTGGGTGCCGTGCGTCTCTCGGCAGTCACCGAGTGGGTGGACTCGTGCCGACGGATCTGCTGACAGGGGTCGGCTCGGCTGCGCGCCGCGCCGCCGCTCGCTCCACTGGGGGCGGCGGCCGCTCACAGCGGCGGCGCCGGCGGCGGCGGCACCGCGTGCGCGTGCGCCGCCTGCTTGTTGGAGCGCAGCCGGTCCAGTCCGTGCTTGGAGCGCGCGCCGGCGGCGGCGGCTGCCGGCTCGTCGTCGTCGCTGGTGCAGCCGAAGGCGGCTGCCGGCCGGCGCGCGGTGGCCTGCATCAGCTCGGCGTCCGGCGAGTCGCACGCCTCGTACAGCATAATGTTCAGCGTCTCCTCGTAGATGCGCGCCTCGTGGCACTCCACCTGCGCGCACGGTCAGACGGGTCACTGGGTCAGACGGGTCACAGTGTCACAGGGTCACAGTGTCACAGTGTCACATTGTCACAGTGTCACAGTGTCAGACGGGTCACATTGTCACAGTGTCAGACGGGTCAGTGTCAGTGTCGGGTCACTGGGTCAGAAGGGTCATTGGGTTCACATGACAAGTTAGCTCCAGTCGATTCAACATATGAATGGAGTTTTCTTGAGTCGATTTAACCTTGGACTCAAACTGCTTATACGTGTACATAGGGGAGACCGGGGCAAAGCGGCCACCCTAATGTCTGTTTCTAAGCCGACGCTTCATTTTCAAACTTGGGAAGATTCTTCATTAAATTGCCTTTCATTTTAACTTCTTTTTATTTCTAAAGGCGTTCACGTTTAGGAGATATTGGCAATACTTTACACCTATGCATTTTGGCCACTTTGCTCCACCCCGCGGGGCAAAGTGGACACCAGCGATTTATTTGCCCCGACATGAGCAATAGGATAGTTGCCTCATACACGACTAGACTTGTTGAAGCTTGATTTAAACGAGGATGGATGTTTATTTTGTCATCCTCCCATCTTAGTTAAACAATGCAAGGGCATATTAGAAAAAAAAAACAGTGCATTTTTTTTAACTGATGTAACCGAAAAATTGCCGAAATAAACGCATGACGATAGATTTAAATATTAATAACGTTTTTTGTCCAGATGGAAACAACTTATGGCCAACTGTGGGCTGGCCACTTTGCCCCGTCCACTTTGGCCCGCGCATACCGTCCGAGACAAAAATATTTCAGCTCAGCTATTAGAGGGGGCATAAAGCATTAAAATTGGTAGAAGATAGGTACGATAACCAAACAATGCATGAACGAGATCGCTTAAATAAAATTCCACACGGTTGTGGAATAAAATAACATTTAAAAATAGTAAAAATAGAAAGACACCAGGGAAGAAATACTTTTCCGTGTATCACAGAACAGTGGCGATGGGCCGGAAACCACAGCTTATCCGAACGACCATGAAGCGAACTATAATTGGCAACCAATAACTGGTGTTGACATCAGTTGTGAAACTGAAAGCTTCAAATACGGGGTGGCCGCTGTGCCCCGGGTGGCCACTGTGCCCCGTTCTCCCCTATGTGAATCAAATCGACTTATGACTCATTCAGCTTTCAAAGCATTTGATTCGATCCGACTCATGACTCAAAGTAAAATGAATGATTCTCAAATCGACTCATGATTTGACTTGTATAGTCGTACAAAGTGTGGAAAGAAATTACGCGAATACACTGTTCTCGTAACAATAAAAAAACGATGGTGACATGACAACTTCATCGTTTACTATATCCTCATCTCAGTGGCGGCGGAACACCTTCAAGGGAGGGGGGGGGGAGGGCACTGCCGACTTTTGGTCCCATTCTTTCCATGCAACGCCCATAGGGCTAATGTTAAAATGCCAAAATCAAAGGGGGGCACGGTGGCACGGTGTCCCGGTGCCCCCCCCCCCTCCCCCTGTTTCGCCGCCTATGCCTCATCTGTGTGCGATACACTGATTAAGTGTTCCAGCACAATTGACATCAGGATCTAAAGCAATGCTGATGAAAGCTTAGCCCACGCCTTCTCGAGCTGTCTGGTGAGGCAAGCGGTGCTGGTGGCTCCTAGCAGATCTCTGACGTTATCCTGACGAATCATCCATATATTTTTGATCGAATTAAGCTCTGGGCTATTCCCAGATACGACATTGTATGCTCAGAAGGACAGGTTCCCACAGCACCAGTCTTTCGTCCTTTGGCGGTGTGAGGAAGGACTTCAGCAATCATGAAGAAGATTTTCTTTGCGTCGGGCACAAAAATGACATTAATCATCTGGCCGGTTTTCCCCATCGGTGGACTAGACTAGAGACTAGAGAGACTCGTCTGCAATGATGCTCCACTGGTTGCACCCTTTATTGTTGGTTACCTTTTGTCGCGCTATGTACAATTTTGACTCAGCAGCCGGGCGCTGATAAGCCCTTGGTGTGCACCTTTGCCGGATGGTGGACGGCTGAGACGGGCGGGACATCGGATGCATCAGCAGCCTCCACGCAGTTGTTATGCCGTTTTGACGGAAGAAACAGCACAAAAGATGTCTCACCCAACCACAACACCAGCTGCCGGTCCTCCTATGTCCAGGTTTGGCGCTCTTTGGAAAACTTCATGCGGCAATCCTACTGCTATTTCGTGAATGTTGGTCATATCGAGGGTTTGTACAGTTAAATTTTCGAATTTGAATTGATATATGTGCGATTCGTGAGATGTTACATCGGGTACCCGGCCGCAGTAAGCCATTTAGCTGGTTTTGGGTCGACTGCCGCCGTTTTGTCACCGACTTGGCGCCCAGCCAGTCGGTGACCCGGTCCCGGTGAACCCTGTTCGCCGAGGGTTTGCTGCGGCAGACAGAGGCAGCTTTTTAACCGGCGCCGGGCCGGTGCTCGAAGCGAACCGCGCCGGGCCCGGGAGGGTGGAACACCCCGTCGGGTGAGACTAAATGCTTACTTCGAAATCTAAGCTGTGTTGCGGCATTGGCGGTTATGTGCGGCGTGTATGCCGCATGATTAGTAAGCGGCGACCACTAAATTAAAGGCTTAAACGCTCCAACCTGTTTTCAATGAATAACACTGCATACCAAAAATGTCAATCGCTCTCGTCATAAGATATTTAGATTTCAATAACTAATTTATCTGCATCATCATTTTGAACCAAATTAATGCTTTCAACTTAGTACTCACTCATTCCTTCCTTCGTTGGCTCCAAACAGTATACTTCCGATTGTCTGGAAATCGTATGCCAAATCCCGCACCTGTACATATACGATTGGTGCATATAAAGGCCGATGTAAGAATTTCAACAGGCTCTCGCATGCGATTTCCTGGCTACCCAAAAAGTCTGTTTCAGTCATGCTATCAAAACATGGCATGTCAGCCCTATCACCAGCTTGTAGTGCCCCTGACCGTCACAGACTCCCTTCCCTCCTTAAAAGCCTAGTTTCCCTCCATCATCTCTACTAGATTTAGGTGATGCTCCGACAAATTCACAAACAAGACCGAACTTGTTCGGAGTTCGGACTGTGAGTTAACCCTCGCCCTTTAGGGGGGGGGGGGGGGTCGAACGGACTCCCCTCGGTTTTTCGCAAATAACTCGCGTAAAAAGCGGCCGATCACGACGTAACTTTTAGTACTCTCGCGTTGATCAATTTTACACCTACCCTCAAAATTTCATGACCCTGACGCAAATAACCTTTGACCTGTGACCTACTTTTCGAGACCATGTTTGGCCGGAACCGCGATTCAGCGTATGTCGGCTCGCATTAGCAGCGCGTTTGCAGTCTTTTCGTGGTTTCAACTTTCAAGCGTTCAAACATGTGATATGATGTTGCCCCCATGCATTAGGGTGGGTGTCAAGGTCACCTGAAGGTCAGGTCAGGTCATTGACCTTTGGTGACCTCGGTTCACTTTTTCGAGTTTGACATGTTTCTAGGCCAGTTTTTTTTTCGAGCTGAATTCGAATTAAGCAGCCACATGAACGTTTACAAAGTAGTTTTGGTGCCTTCGTAACATGTTACGAGGCTGTCAGAGGCGGTTGACACCTACTACAAATACCCGGCAGGACCTCTACTGGTTGACCTGACCTGACCTAACCCGACCTGGCCTAAATGAATGAAGACATCATCTGTGATCAAAACTAGCATGATATTCGTGATCAGCACCCCGAAAAACCCAATAGCAGCCACACTACGACGTTCTAACAGGTCCCAATTTTCCCGCCTTTTGGGTCATTTACCTGACCTGGAAGGTCAACCGATGACCTAGGACCTTAAAATTGGGTATCATCGGCTTCCTCTTGTCACGGGCAACACGCTCGTTTTTTCCGCGAAGCTCTAGCTTGATCAGGAGCGAAACGTCAAGGGGCTGTTCGCGGCTTATACGTTCGGCTTATACCTTATACGTTCGCGGCTGGAAAAACACCAATACGGGCGAGGGTCAAGTTGAAAGTATTAATTTGGTTCAAAACAATGATGTAGATAAGTTAGTTATTTAAATCTAAATATCCTATGACGAGAGCGATGGACATTTTTGGTATGCAGTGTTATCCATTGAAAACAGGTCAAAGCTATTGAGTTTTTAATTTAGTGGTCGCCGCTTACTAATCATGCGGCATACACATCGCACATGACCGTCAATGCCGCAACGCAGCTTAGATTTCGAAGTAAGCATTTAGTCTCACCCCATCCCGTCTAACTTCGCTCCTGGGCCACGTATAGCGACATGCGGTAAACAAGCGGCAATCGAAATCGAGCGTCAAAAATCATTCTTCGGTCATTTTTTACGGCGGGTCAAAGGTAAGGTCACCAGAGGTCATCAAAGGTAAAATGTTACCGATTTAAACGTTTTTCATAAAAAAACCGGCGCGTAACTCGGGAACTGATAGAGCTAAGACGCCACGGAAAAGCGCATTCGATAGCCCTTTTAGGGCTTTCTGATCAAGTTCTTTAGATGTGACCATTTGACCTAGGACCAACGGTTTAGCCTCCAGAGGGTTAAAGCTGGAAAAATAACAATTTTTACAAAAAATATGTAATACTATTGACTCAGGAAAAACACAACATTGATTTTGCCCGCATCGTGTTTCCCCCGTCAAGACGCGTCGAATAAGCTGTAATCTAAAAATGAGCATTTTCAAAACTTAACCTAACATCAAAGTCATGACCTGACCGGAAATGTTAATGTTGCATATCAGTCGATCCGTATCGTCGACCTGAACAAATTTAAGGTGTTTTCATCGCTCTAGCATCTGTTTGTCAAAAACTATTGCCAAACAAAGTATTTGGGACATTTTATGGTCAGATATGACCTCGGGAACATAAGGAGGAGTGACGGGCGCTATTTTTTTCCTATTGGCTATTAGGTGTTATGTTTACATGTATCACCATGTTTGAGAATGTCTAGAATGGCGTTGGTCCAAAAGAGATGCCGTTAAATTTTCTCTCATTGATTTATAATGGAGAAGGCGCAAAATTGACCTGACCCTAGGTCACCGATATCAAAATTCCGAGACGCATTTCATACATACTGTTACTTTTATGAATCGCTGAAATTTTCAAGGCGATCGTTCAGTCGGTGTAGCTATGACAAGCATTCTAACCTTTTCTGAGGTAATGTTACTTGACGTGAGCTGGTGACCTGACCTTGAGCGACCTGGGTCTGAAACTTTCACAACATGTGCGGAAAAGATGCATGAACAGGTGTGCTCAAAACGACTTATCTCCGAAAGACCGCGATAGGGATGTCTAAACTCCCCCCCCCCCCCCACAGCCCGGCGCGGGTTAAATCCTCTCAAGTCGTATTATGCTTTAACCAAATGCATAACTGAGTAAGGCTGCTGCTGCTGAGACCGTTGCCATTCCCTTCCGCTCCAGCCCAGCCAAAACCATCTCCAACGCTTTCTCTGGCAACTCCATATCGTGCTCTTTAGTATTTGCCGATTTTGGTCTTGCGCAGCGTACGACATGTGTACCATTCAAAATCGAGACGTCCTTTCAGGTCATCGTCCAAAGTCAAATCACTTTTGGTAGATAAGGCGACAACAAACACGACCAATCAGTTCCATGACAGCCGGCGTTCATACAAATATCCACGGACGGGCAGCATTGTAAGAAAGTACATGTTCTCGTAATTGCTTTCCACTCTGTACAACCCTGCCGGATACACGGCAGCCATGGCCGCCCGGACCGTCTGTCAGAGGCCAGTCTCGCTGAGTGGGACCGTCTGTATCAGAGGCCAGTCTCGCTGAGTGGGACCGTCTGTCAGAGGCCAGTCTCGCTGAGTCTGTGTCAGAAGCCAGTCTCGCTGAGTGGGGCCGCCCGCGGGCCAGATGAGCGAGTAATAGGGCTGCTATAAATCACAACCCTACTACTGACTCGTCGCACTCGCGGGCGCCCGAGCCGAGTCCTGGCGAGTCCGCCGGTCCCGGTGAGCCGAGTCCTGGCGAGTCCGCCGGTCCCGGTGAGCCGAGTCCACAATGCCTGGTTAGCCGAGTCCTGGTGAGTCCGGCCGTCTGGGAGCCAGCATAACGACTCTCTTCTCTGTGCACTTAGCGGGCGGTACCTGGCGCCAGCGTACACGGTGTCCAGAAATTATTTGCCCCTTGATCATTCAGCTATAATCCCACCGTGCGCTTTAAGAACTGTTGAAAATTTGCTAAGACCGTGCCTCAGGCTATCCACAGCTGTCCGTTAGTCACACGACCTAAGTCGGTCACCTGAGCTTGACACTTGCGAGGCGCCAGGGGCCAGTGTTTGATAGGCGTAACTCGCACCTGAACGTGGTATCTACTTTAACGAAAGGAATTCTTTGACAGAGCGTTCTGAAGTTATGGTGAAGACTGGAATGAAGTAGAAAGTCAAATCGAATCCTCTGTCCTAATCCCAATCGAAAACCTATGGGGAATCATGAAGGAGGAGTTCAGCAAGATTGAACCAGCTCCCATAGAAAACGGACTTTAGAAAGGTGTGGCATAACATCATAATCTGTAAAAGGTGTGACTGAACATCAGCGTGGATACTCTGGACATCTTGATCTATGGAATGCCAAAGCGGATGAGGGAATGGGTAGGGCAGGACAGGGGATAAATCGATAAATGACCCGGGGGTAAAACCATGACCCGGCGGCTCTTTGTTTATTTATTATGGCGGCGATTTGATGGAGGGGCAAATAATTTCCGGACACCCTGTACAGCTCGACAGCAATGGACAGCTCTGTCGCCGGTCGGCGGGGCTGTCAGCTTTGCATAGTGCAGCACGAGCACGGGTGGCAGATATTTGACTGAAGCACCTGATCTAAAGCTACAATAGACGGCCAATAACTGTCCGGCTGATGACATAGGCACTGGACGACCAGTCAATGAGGACTGTGAGGACCAGTAAATGAGGGCCAGTGCACGGCGACTGTGAGGACTGTGAGGAGTGCCAGACGGCGGCGGGTGAAGACTGCGCGGCTCCACTGTGCGGCCGCGGCGGCCCGCTCCGCTCCATACCTTGGTGTGCTTCTTGTCGGTGGCGTACACGATGGAGGTGCAGCAGACCTCGGCCACCTTCTGACCGCGGCCGTAGAAGGTCCACATGCAGATCTCGTTGGTGGCCGTCACGTCCTTGATGAAGAGCACGCGATGGCTGAAGCGAAGGCTCAGCTTGTCGAACATCTCCAGGTTCTTCAGCATGTTGTCGTCGGACGCGCTGTAGGACACGGGGCCGGTCAAAGGGGCGCGGCGGGACACGGGGCCGGTCAAAGGGGCGCGGCGGGACACGGGGCCGGTCAAAGGCGCGCGGCAGGCGCGGCGGGACACGGGGCCGGTCGGTCAGAGGGGCGCGGCGGGACACGGGGCCGGTCGGTCAGAGGGGCGCGGCGGGACACGGGGCCGGTTGGTCAGAGGGGCGCGGCGGGACACGGGGCCGGTCGGCCAGAGGGGCGCGGCGGGACACAGGGCTGAGGGCCGGTCAGACGGAGTGCAGGTCCGTGACGCGGCGACGGCAAGTCACGCGCAGAGCGGTTCAACAGGCGCTCGCTACTGCCGACCGCCGATCGCTGTCTGGAGTCGAGTGTAGGTCCAACCCGACTCTGCAGCGGCCAGCCGCGGCGCTGGGCGGCGGACCGCGCACCGCACCCACCTGGTGTACGAGTACTTGTTGTTGTGCCGGTTGATGAGCAGCTTGACCACGGGCTTGGTGCTCTGGCTGATGAGCTGGTGCTCCTCGCGCGAGCTGGTGATGAGCGGGATCCGACAGATGGGCTGCACGTCTCGGTCGGTGAGCTTCTTCAGTGCGCTGTCGCACGCCTCGCCTGCAGCAGAGGGCGGCACGGGACACCCAGTGACCGACAGGCAGCGCGCGCAGAGCCCGGCCAGAACCCACTTCAGTCGACTTATTGCATTCGGTGCCCGGTAAGGGGTTTTCAGAAGAAGAAAAAAGCATAACAATGCGTAATTAAGAACTAAATATTCCATAATCGAAGAACAGGTTGTTTACGGGCGTGCGGAGACAAGGCGGGCGTTTTTCATTGTTTTTTTTTTTCCGCGGCGTTTGTGTTGTCAATGTTGCCGGCGTGCGTGCGGACGTTTCTTTGTATATATTTACATACTTTAATTTCTAAGTTCTTTTTCCTTTCTTTCAAACCTTCGGTCCGGCGATGCTTAGTATTGCATTGTTATCGAAGTACAGGTTATGAGCATATTTAATTGACCGAATACTCAATATAATCTGAATAAAATGACAAAATAGCAAAAATTCGGGTATATTCAAGATCGGCTGACAAAGATATGTGATCGATTATACCCGAATTTTTGCTATTTTGTCATTTTATTCAGATTATATTGAGGACTAGGTCACTCCGTAGCGCCTACCGGCGCTTATTCTAGGTCTCCCCGTACCGTCTTCTTCCGCTATGTATTGATATACCTACTCGTGAGTAAGTGAGTGAGTGAGTGAGTGAGTGAGTGAGTGAGTGAGTGAGTGAGTGAGTGAGTGAGTGAGTGAGTGAGTGAGTGAGTGAGTGAGTGAGTGAGTGAGTGAGTGAGTGAGTGAGTGAGTGAGAGAGAGAGAGAGAGAGAGAGAGAGAGAGAGAGAGAGAGAGAGAGAGAGAGAGAGAGAGAGAGAGAGAGAGAGAGAGAGAGAGAGAGAGAGCGACAAACAGCAAGCTGATCTCGGGCGGGTGAGGCGTAGGCGGGTTTAGTCTGTGTGTGCGTGTAACCCGGTCTGGTGGGGGTGGCCGTGGGGAGCGAAGCTGGATTCTGGAGTGAATTGTGAGAAGTGACAATAAATATCCAGTGGTTGAACTCAGTGGCTGTGAGAGAAGTGAGAGACGGAAGTGACGGAAGTGCGAGGACTGACGGCAGGCCACAAACGCGTGGACTGTGACCCGTCCCGTCCTACTTCCGGGGACCTCGGCTCTTCTCACCTCGTTGGGGTGTGCGAATGGGCGGCCACCGGTGTGTCGCCAGCGAAAACCGAGGGCTTAACTCTTTTCCCGTGTTTCGCCATCGAGACCGGGGAAAGGGGCCTCTTTCCATACAAGGGGTGCAGCCAGTCGGCTTCGGCCAACCTCGCTATCGAGGCGTCGAAGTATCGGTAGATCCGTCTGCTCACGGCGCCCTCGCCACTGAGGAGCATTGATCAGGCAGCGACTGTCGCCCTTCTCACCAATCCTGTCCCAATTTCCGACCCCCTAATCCCCCTCAGCCAGTCACAAAACACAAGTGTCGTCCGTGCATGTAAACCAGAGGATATCGTGGCGACAGTCAGGTCATCACAGGTCACGGAAATATTATATCATGCGTCGGTCACGTGACACATGTTTTATGGTCCATTTAGGCCATAGATTTCGAATTTGATGTCATTTGTGTCATTAGAGGTCAGTTTAAGTTGAATTTAGCTTAGGTCAGGTCACTTTCAGGTCAAAAAAGGTCAAATTTTTAAGTTAAAATTTTTCAACAAAAAGGTGTCTATTGGATGAAGTTGGAGCTCAGGAACACGATGGTGCTATTTATATTGATGAAAACGTACTGAAAAATTGATTTCAAAAATTTATAATTATGAATTGTTTGCTATAATGCGTATAACTTGGCCATTTTTGAAGATATTTAGCTAAAACTTGCTACAGTAAGTCTAAGCATGTGTTCTATCACACATTCCGTTTTTTCTTCGGTAAGTCAAAAGTTTTTGTAAAATATAAAAATATAATTTTAAATTTTATCATATATTTCAAAA